TTTTTTTTTTTTTTTTTTTTTTTTTATTACTTGTTCAATGTACTGTACAAATTAATGATTATTATTTGTCCATACATTCATAATTTATTGGACAATTTTATTGATCGAATTGAATTATAAACGTCATACGTTAAAATTGTGGCTTTAATTATTAAAACATATTATATGTATATCGCAAATATATTTTATAATTCTGAATAAGAATATTTTACACAGAACTTTCCACTAGAGATAATTTTAGTTTGAATAGTTCTATGTGTAATTTAGATGAGTTTATTTTCAAACATTTTCAACTTCGTATCAAATTTAAATTGAGATAAGAATCGTTATGTAATTTAACATTATTTTTTCTTTTATAATTGCATTGAATCATTTATATAAATCGTGTATAAAATATTTGTTACATATAATAAGCACTTCGTCTAAACTGTTGAATAATTGTAAAATTGTAATTTCATAATATGAGGGTGTATACGTATAAAATTATTTTTTATTGCTTAGAAGAGTAAACGTTGAATATTTGGTTGATGTATTAATTCAACTAAATATTATTTCAAAAAAAAAATAAAAAAATCTGCAGCAATAATGTATCAATTAGGGCAAGTTCTGAATTCTGATAAAAAAATACTTAATGTACACTCATTTATTTATTTGTACATAAATAAATATATGACGTGGTATGTGATAAATGATCAATACGTCATATTTATTTATTTGAATGCGTTTCAAAACATTTTTACGATGTTCTTGGATATAATGTTTAATTTCTAATGATTTTCTTATTTTGAACATCGAAATATTGAAAAAAACGCATTCATAATAAGGTTAGATGCAAAGAGGAGGACATCTAGCTAGTGCAACGAAAGACTGTTTTTTTGAACGAGAAAAAGAGTTTCTATTGCGCTGGGATGGAAGGAAAGGAACAGGGAGTGATAAACAATTGCGCGCGCGCGAGAGTATGCGAGTAAGAGAGAGAAAATAGAATTTTTAGTGAATGCTACACGTATGGACGGTCATTTACAAATAATAGGGATTCCAATATTATAATGATAATATTGCTACCTGTAACGGATTCGCGGTTTAATTTCGTGCAAGAATTCCTTTTATTCTTTTCGTCACTTTCGGTTCCTTTGGTTAATACTATGTTCCATCCATTATTTTTACTTTTATCATCTTGCACATTGTTTCCCAAAGATGGTAGTGATGATTTTTTTTTTTTTAATATTATATTAATTATTACTTTTATAGTTTATAATTGCATTATTGTTGCGATTATTCTATCTATCCGTACGCCATTATGACCATCACCATGGTATATTATGATTACAATGATTAAAATTACTACTATTATTACTATTAGTAAAGTCAAATATACGGACAATTTGTAATTGATACGTTAGCAATTTTTTTTCATGTATCCTATATATCATAATTACGATATATTTCCTATAACTATTTGAAATAAAAAAATTTGCAAACTTTTATAGTAATAGCAAAATTGAAACAACCAATTGCAATCATTAATTTCAAATATGGAAAATACTTATACTTAAATAAAAAGAAAGTTGAAAGATAATTCATATAATTAACTATTTACAACTTTTATTTCTTTATAATTTTCATTGCGACATATCGATTGTTATTATATTATTCAGAAGATTAATTGAAAAAGATAAAAATTTATAAGTTATATCATGCTATAGTATTTTTTTCTTATATATAAAAATAATCTTAAAATAATAAATTTTAATAAATTAAAAATAATAAATTATAACATTAATAAATAATTCTATCCATCCCGTAATTTCTAATCGTGCGCTAAAAGTAAATGTAAGACAAGAAAAAAAATAATGAGAGAAGGATAGAGATAGAATAAAAATTCTGAAATCAGCGCCATCTTCAGAGTGCCGTAAATGAAATAATCAATAAACAAGGATAGAAAATAGTAGGAAAAAGATAGAGATAGAATAAGAATCAATCATTAGTGCCATCTCTTAAGTGTTAGAAGTACTTATAAGCAGGATAGAATAGAATAAGAATTGAAGATGAACGCCATCTCTTGAATACTTTTATAATTTTTATGATTCTTTTATTTTTGATGTCTAAGAGATGGCGGTAATGATTAATTCTTGTATCTCTATCCTCCTCTTATTATTTTCTGTCTCTACTTTGTATGTTTCATTTGCGGCACTCTGGAGATGGCGCTGATTTCAATATTTTTACTTTATCTCTATCTTTCTCCTATCATTTGTTTTCTTTGTCTATACTCGTCCATAACGAAAAATATGCTCAAGGATATTTGATTATATGAACCGATATGTGATTGATTTTATTATCATCTATTCTGCTATTTTTTTTAAGTTTTTATTTAAATTATAACATATAAAATATAACATTTAAATTTATTTTAATAATATGTAATATACTGTATTCTTTATTATATTCTTTATAGATAGGTCTCGATGCGTAGTCACCTCCTCGTTGGTGAGACCTGGTAATTGGCATCCCTTTCCAAAGATTTTTAAACATTTGATTTTAAATAAAATTTTATTCAAAAGATTCGCAAAAATTATATTGAAAAATATTTATTTTTTAGAAAGCGATGCCAAGCTAAGAACTACGCATTAGTTTAAGTCTAGATTTTGCAAGATTTCTTTTGAATATTTTGACCATCTATAGATATCACATTATGCGCCTCCTGCATTAGGGTATTATATTAAGGATTAGATGTAATTGCCAATTTATAATTAGATAATTCAGATAACAATGATCATCGATCTAATGAACACAAAGTAATATTGCATTCCTGATTTATCACATGCTAACATGTCAAATGTTAAATTTAATTCGAGACATGTTTAATTTGATATAGTTAAAACTTTTCATTTTAAAATTTTGAAATTATAGTCAACTAGAGTTTATTTTTTGCTAAAAAAAAAAAAAAAAAAAATCAAGACAAAATATATTAAAAATGTATGTTTATTCGTTATCTAATCTTTCTCGAAGTTTTCACGTTCAATATCTTTCGATTTAATCGAATGCACTCTCCTTCC